ACTGGAGAGCGAGGGCTCTTGTCATGGCCTTTCTTGCGAAACCTCACCAGAATGATCCGCAATGTGCCAGAGCATATCATTCGATCCTGGAGTTTGTCCGGTTTCTCCGAATGCCTGGTAATGGATTGGACAAGGTCCGCTGGTGTGCCAACGCTGTGCCTTCCGACCACAGCTTTGTGAAACGGATTCAACAAGCTTTTCAGTTCTTTGGGTTCCAGTTGTCAGATTCTTTGCAAGTAATTTTTGCTGGGAAACCTTTGATGCCAGTGTGGGATCTTTCACCGAAGGACATCAAACCGGTCCTTCAGAGGCTTGCCCGACACAAATGTTATGTAGATGCATCCAATCAGCACAGGAAAGACTTCAAGGCGCCGGCTGGAATTCTCGATTTTGACCTTACTTGTGGTCTTCGTAAGTCTTCTCAGCTCCAGATGAGCCCGGATACTCCGGTTGAAAGCCACTTCCAATCGCAGTTAGTTGGCTGTACCCTAACTAGAGACCGTTTGTTTGCTGCTTCCCTGGACTCATCGGATCGGTGCAGATTTTGTGAGGGAGTCAAGGAATCTCTTCACCACCTGGTCCATGAATGCCCGGTGTTTTTGGAACGTTTCCCACCACATCCGGTCCATGAGTATGGTCCTAATTTTGGCCTGCTTGGAATTGTGGAGCATCCTGTGGGTATCATCAAGCACAGGCTGGGATGGTCCAACCCTGATCATATTGAAGCTCAGACCTTTCATCCAGAGGCGCCCCACACAGAGTGGTGGTCAGATGGTTCAATTTTTTGGTCCGATACATTCTGGCTCACAGCTGGTGGTTTTTCCTTGGTCGACCAACATTACCAAGAAGTTTCAGGTGGCCCTGTGCGCAACTTGAGTTTGTCCTCATACTCCACCGAACTCTGGGCATTGGTCGTGGCCTCCCGCATCTGTACAGGCCCCACGACTGTCTATACTGACTGTCAGACAATAGTGAACCAACTCCGGGAGCTGCAGGCCGATAAAGTCCCCGATCCAGCTTGGTCCCATCTTGCTTGGTGGCATGCCATCCATGATAGATTGCAAGCTTTGCGAAATCTGCACCCAACCCCTCTGCAAGCTGTTTGGGTCCCCTCACACTTGTTTGAGTATCTACCTGAAGAGCATATCACGCACTCCATGGCTCACGCCCATGGAACAGAGGTTCGCCACATCATGGGCAATCGGTTTGCGGATAGGTTCGCCAAGGCACATGCTTTGGAGGCGACTAGTATCCATCCTCATGACGAAACTTTGGTCAAGAAATCCATAGTGCAGCGCCAGGATTGGCTCACGAATCTTAATATCCAGGTGGCAATACTGCAGAAGCATGATCAAGACGCCAAAAATGAGGCGAGAATGGAAGCTGAAGCGGATTCCGAGAATGTCTTCTCCCTCTTTCCCCACTGGGAATGGGACCCCAACCCTGGTGATTTTGCTTGGAAAGTGGAAGAGTCTTTGCTTTCACTTCCATTACATGAGAAGTGGGCTGAACGTGCTCCGAGCTGGCGAGTGTTGGGAGAATTTTTCGATCAACTTCAGTGGAAAGTTCATCATGATGCAGTTACTTCCTATGTTGAGCTTGCGGTGTTATTCTACTTGAAGGGTTTTCGTTTGCCTGAACATGATCCTGATCAACATACTTTTCGTGACTTGACAGGTGAAATACGGCAGTTTGTTGCACACGCGAGATCCCTCTCGGATAAAGTCCTTCCCGGTGTTCACAACAGGCACCGCAACAAGAGTATCGGTAAGTCGCTACCAAATGGCACCATCGATGGTGCAGAGGTTCTTTTCTGCAGGGAAGAGAAGATCCGCTTTGCTAGGATTTTGTCTGGTGTGTCGACAGCGAAGCTAGCTGCTTGGGAGTTCACGTTTGGCAGTGCGGAGTCATAATTAGTTTTCTCATGTGGACCTCTCACATGTGTTTGGGTGCGTGGCAGAATGCCATGTAAACCAGTCGTGACCGCATCGACGCGTCGGGAAGAACAGAATAGACTACCTGGGAGGTCAGCCTACCCTGGTTTGGGGCTCCGGGTTTTGACCTACAGCCAAATCACTCCATGCAGAATGGCTAACATGGCGTTTCTCTCCCTCCTCTTCCCGGAGACTCGGCTCTTACGGTTCTTCGGTGGCATCGAAGGACGCGCGACGCGACGGAGGTCGTTCCGGATGAAGTCGAAACCGGCTGGGCGACGCACCAAACCCGTTCGGGGATGTCGCAACATCCGTGGGATTTCACATGAACCGGAGCAAAGGAGTATTAATGAAGGGTTCTATTAGATCTATATGTTCACACCCACTTAGGTGGAGTGGACATGTTAGTATACGGGTATAATATACGAGTACTTGGGGGGAAAGACCCCAATGATGGAGGCCATCTGTTGTTACAATGATGTGCGTTGTCAGCAGCTGTGGGCCATGTGTCGACCCTACGAGGTCGCCAAAGGCTTCAAAAATTCAGGTTATGGACATGGCTGTTTGCCAGGTGAGAGGGGCCAGCTTTCTGGGCCACCCAAGCAGGTATCTTCATCCCGTGTGCTCACAGATGTTCCACATTCATCCAAATTCCCGATGTATTCTATTTCCCGACGCGGAAGGGTGCTCACGCTGCGAACGCGGGGACCGGGCACCACGCCCGCGTCTGCGAGGACCCCAAGCGTGCCAGGCAAAGCCTCGCAATTCGGTTCGACCGATTCGCAAGGTTTGGAAGATCCGGGCCGTCAGACTGGGCGTTCGTGACGAAAGCTAGCTACATCATGCTGCATCTATAATCACATGGCCTTACAACGGATGTTGCTCCCTATGCAAAAGAAAGAGGCTCTTCAAACGAAAAACTGTCGTGCCCTCGTCGACCTATAGCTAAGGCATGCTAAGGCGGTCCTATCAGATCAGTCAAATGGTGCGCTGCAACGAGAGCCAATAACCATATGCCCCATTCTTCGCCCGATGGAAACCCTGGCGACGTTCGGTGCGACGTTCGGTGCCACGGGCAGCGTGCCTATACGGTGTTGGGACGACGTCCAAGGAATGTGCTCCACCGGCGCCGCAACTCACACGTCCGCTTATGTTGTGCAGTATGGGGCTCTGGTGTTGCCCATCTTGGCCTCTGTAGGAACTCCGGAGTTGTGAGAACTCCGGAGCCACACGTTTCTCCGGCCAAGGAACAGCATGGCCCAGCAAACCATACGCCCATGGCGAGTACTGGAGACGATATCTGACGGTGCCAGGCGTAGGAGTCAAGTTCGGGCATGAGCCGGATGCTAAAAGAAGGTATTCAAGCAGTGTGCTCTTACCTGCCAGGTGCTGGGCAATGTAAGGCCCAAAGAGGCTCTAGACTCTAAAACAGGGCGTGTGTCTGTGTGCGTGTTCTCTTTCCATGCAGATGGCCGAAAAGTATTGTCAGAAGTGGCTGCCAGTAGGAGCGACCAGAAACATCCAAAAACCACTTGTGTGCTGGCCCCTGAGAGTTCTCCAGATTTCTGGTATACCAACATAACATGTTCTTCAAATCATCTTTAGTTCAGGAAGCACTCGACTTGTGGTCCCCAATTTTGCAACTTTGAGCCATGGCCAGACTATTCCGTTGGTCCAGTGAGCAGAAATCAACACTGCATGGTTCAGAATAGGGCCACCGCCCCTCTATCGGGACTACCAACTTTTTTGGCTAAGATTACAAAGGCCAGAACAAGAACCGTTCCAAACGGGTTGCATTTCATCACAGTGTTCAAAAGTTCTGAGGCTCTGAGGGCAATCTGTGAAGGATGTCAACTGTTCCATACCATGCCGCTTTTAGGATGTTGAGCCATCTTTTCAGGACCGCCCAGCGGTTTTTTGCTCCGCTTGCACTTTAACTCCAAAGAATCGCTCCGTCTGACCAGAGATCAGCGGGAGACCGCACGAGCTTCTCACATGGACAGAGCACGAGCTCCTCTGAGATCCTCCAAACTGCACCGTTCCAAGCCCTTGAAGTCTGCTACACGTTTCGTACCAAAAAAATGGGGTTTCAGATCACCTGAGTCTGGCACCAGACCAGAAGTCCAAAAAGAAAACTCCGACATTGTGCCATCTACTCGAAGTCCAGATTGAATCTTGTGCCATCTACTTGTTCCATCTGCTACACAGTCTGTGGCCCTTTTGAGGGGCGATGTAGGATGCTGCTCCTGCGAACCACTCCTGTCCCACTGGTGAAACTGCTGCTGGACCTGGAATGCCTGGAAGAAGAGATATAGAAATCTTCATTGGGAAGGTGTCCCCCTTTCCCGCCGTCGCGGAGCATAGCGGAGCACTTGCAAGCGTCCCCCGCCACTTCCTACTTGCATCACCACTCCTGAAGCAGAACCCTAAGGTGGCTGTGTGGAACTCAACCTCCACCAAAGCAGGGTAGGTTGAACCAGAATCGCCCTGTTTTTGACCCAGAATCGCCTGATGTCACGTTCGGTTAGTTTAGGGCCAATGTTTAGAACTGCACATCTGCTGCACGACATGATAACATATCGCTGACAAAAATCGATGCTCATCCTCCCGCACAAGAAGCCATGCCAAGAGTTTAAACTTTGAACAAGGCATTGTTAAAATCATGTCACTTCCAGCTGCCCCTGCAAAACTACCTCTGTCCAAAATCAGACCCAAGTTACAACAAGCCGTTTTGAAAACGTCTCACATTTTTTTCAGAATCAGCTTGACACTCGAGAGTGGGCCATTGGATTTGGACATTGAACCGATCTGGCACATCTGTGTGCGCCAAGCCCAATTGGCTGATCCCCGGCAAAGCAAAACGCCCGCGCACTTTGGGGGAGTCAACTCCTGTCCATGCTCTCTGTTGTTGAATGGTGCTTCTGGGGGGCAAGAGTCCAATCTTCACACACCTGAGACAGCGAACAAACCCAACATACTCAGCACCGTTCTGAAAACGGGTGAAGGTGACACACACATATATGTGTTTACATGTGTTTACGCATGTTTACGCCATCATTGGGTTAAGGCAGAATGGCCCACCGAACTCACTGTTTTCTTCCACCAGAAGCACCGTCCTGAAAAACCTGCTGTGGCGACCTCTTTGGATCGTTCGTCAAGGGCCACCCAGGGAGAGTGTTCATCTTCCGCCCCTCACAGGCAGCCAACACTGCAAACAACCAGGGGAAACAACCCAAGAGAGGTCGAATGGCCCATCTCATCTGTACCACTACAGGGTCCGAACGTTCAGGTCTCTCGGCCTCTTTTGGGCAGGATTTCACCTTCAAGGCGTTCGGTGGTCGATCGTGACCATCTAGAACTACTCAAACCCTCAGTTTTTTGTTTCTGGGTGTCGTCTGAGACCCATCTCATGAGACCCTCTTCCGTGCGTCACAACAGCAGCGGCCAAACAACAATTGGGTATCCCAATAGGGAGGCACCCGATGGATCCACTGGAAGAAAACAAATCAAGCCAAAATCCATTGGTTGGAGGTCTCCATTAAAAGAAACACACACCCGTGAATCTGACCGTTCTGCCTTGCAAAAGACCTCTCAAACCTACTGGGTGAATCCTCCCAACGAATGCAAGCTTCTTTGGTTTCGTCTGACATCACGTTGGCAACCCTTTGGTGGTCCTGAAGCGGCGTTCGGAATGATGTCCAAGTATACATCCTCAGAATTTCTGATGTAGGGGGCATTTATACACTGCCACTGGCTATCTAGGCAAGTTCTTGGATTGTGACCATCTGAATCGCAAACTTGCTCTAGAACTGGTGTTTCAGTTGAATGAACATGTGAATTAGACAGTGTTCAATCAGCCCCCGAATGGTGTGATCATCTTTGCCCTGTGCTGCCTGGCACCCGGTCACACCGGCAGGGGGCCATAGATGTCCACAGTGGGAAAGACTTTGGGTTCCTTGGACGTCAATGACACACAAACGGCTTAATGAAGCTAGAAGAGCCCGAAGAGTAGGTGTAAGTAGTGATATAACTCAGAACTCAGCAAAAACTCAGCACATGAGCTGTCAGTCAGACAGTGAGACAGTTCATATAGAATATAGACAGATTATTATAATATTCCAATAATACAAACGACCTGATGTGAAGCGATGCAAGGCTGAACCCAAACACTTCATGCATGTGTGGACACTCCATGTATGGAATGCATTGAATTTATGCCAACCTTCACCTCTTTTCGGCCAAGTCTGCCAGTCCCACCGGTTGTGTCTCGGGAATGCCGACTGAGGCTCAGGGATGTCGGTCGCGACGGCTCCCTCCTCAATCTTCTCCTTCGACCGATCGAGCGGCATCGGTGGGGTCTGGTGAGGACGGGTAAAGACCATCGGCGAAATCACATGCGCGCGGTGCGCGCGGCCGACGTTGCCAGGATGGGTGAAATGGGTCAGGATACAGGCCGCGAATCTACCTGAACCTATGCCCTGCCGACCTGCTGTTGTAGGTCGCTTGAAGATTCCATTGATAAACCCTGGTACGTCGTGGTCGCCCTTCGGGTGATTCATGAGGAGTACAAACGCTCACCAAGTCCAGGCCGAAGATTGGCTTTCCAATGCTTCTTCTGCGGAGGAGGGGAAGGAGGAGGCAACTGTGTCGAGTTGTCCCTGTTTGGTTTGATGCTATTGTGTCCAAGTGTGTCAACTTACAGGTGGAACTCCCTCCCTTGCTGTGAATCGCATGCAATCACTCCCACCTGACACCAGGAACAAGACCACATCATCTCTTCAAGAGTCATTCACTTGGCCTTGATTAAGGCCCATGAAAGAAACAAACATCAGAAATCATACCCCATTGGGGGGGATAATCTTCGCAACGGAGGCAAAAAGGATCAAAAAGGATAGTACATGTAGGCGTGCTCTATATTTACATATTGTTTAGGCCCAGGCGTGGTGAAGTTGGACTATGCTTCACCAATGCCATCCTGCCATCCCAACCAGTCTTCACGCGCCATCACCTCCGCCCATGTTTGTCTCCCAAGGCTCGTAGCGCTTCAACGAGAATTCCAACACCTCTTCCGCCCGCTCAGCCTCTCGGTAGCTGGCCGTGTCGTAGTACCCGGCAAAAAGGTGCTTCCAATCCTCGGATCACCGGCAGCCGGGATCAGATCGCCATGTCCTTTTTGGAGCGGAATGTTTAGAGTTTAGAGTATAGTCATATTAAAGGGAGGCAAATCGGTAACATTGTATAAGGGAAGAGGGGGATGATGAGGGGGATCAAACGCACCAAAAATAAAAGAATACGGCAAATATACACAACCATCGCCGATTGCATGCTGTGCTTGTGTGCTTGTGCATCACGATGGAGAGGGAACAAGCTCTTTTGATCCCTTCTGATCCTTTGGGGAAAACGGATGGTATGGTATGGTCCTGGTCTTCCAAAGAGTTGGGCCGCAGGTGACTACACCATCTCCCCCAACTCCACCATCGCCCAGGGCCGAGATCGTCGAGTGGCATCGCCCAGGGCAGAGATCTGATGAAAGGGAATTCCTTCCGCCGTTCCGAAGGCAGCGACTGTCAGGACAGCAGGGGTCCCAAATGGTCCCAGGTCCCAGATGGTCCCAGGGGTGCCAGAGAGAGGCCCCATCCGCTGCGAGCTTCCGAAACTTGTAGCTGGTGCCCCTCACCTCTGCAGATTCATCCTTCAAGATCCTTCAAGTCTAGTTTCAGATCCCGGAGGCACCGAATTCTGGAGGCTCCTCCATCGAATCCCGGAGGCGTCGATCCCTCCACACCTCCGAAGACCTCCGCGCCTGTGCTGCCAGAGCTTTCACTGCCTCCAGGCAGCGTTCCCATCCCCGCTTCTCGAGTGCCAAAGCCTCGGGTCGCAGTCCGTGCCGAGCGAAGGCCATGACGGTCCTAACCATGGCGGTTCGCGCCGCCGTGCGAATCGAAAAAGATAAATCCAAGTCATGGGCCAGTGAGATTCAGTTTTTCATCCCAAGTCAAGGTTGATGAAACATAAAACTTATTGAAGCACCAGCCGGGTCGAGCCCTAGCTTGGCGTCCTCATCAAACAACCCACCAAACAATGGCTCAGTGCCTAACCTGCCGCCGGGAAACACAAGAACCCGCATGATGAATCATATAATATATCAGCAAAAATGTCCCAAGTACGACTCAGTAGCAAAGCCCAAAGGGGGAAATCATGATAGAACATCTTGTGAATGACATGTGGAGCACTATAATAATATTAAAAGTAATAATTTATGACGTGTCTCAGCCTGTTTGTCTGTGAGCCTGTGGGACTATTCCTTAGTTTGCTGGGACTATTTCATTATGTTGCTGGGGCTATTCCTTATGTTGCTGGGACCTTTACATTATGTTGCTGGGGCTATTCCTTATTTTGCTGAAACTATTTCATTATGTTGCTGGGAATATTCCTTATTTTGCTGGGACTATGTACTATTCCTTTGTTGGTTTTTTGTTTTGTTGCTTGCTGCTGAGTTTATGTCTTATTTTGCTGGGCCTGCTCCTTGTTTTGCTGTGGCTATTACTTGTTTTCCTGGGACTTCTATTCCTTGTTTTGCTGGGACTGCTCCTTGTTTTGTTGTTTTTGTTCAAACCATGTTAAAACATCCTTGTTGGGCTTGGTTTCACTACAAATCCAAATCCAGGATCCACATGAACATGTAACATAGTTTTTTTTGAAGTCATGCAGCCTTTACCTGTCCCTTTCTTATGGAAATGAAGGAACCTAGAACTTAGCACTGGTGTAACATCATGGCCCTGGAATATTGAAAGGTCATCAGCACATCCAACAGTTCCAACCAGGCCCCAAATCCATCATGCGATCATATGTATGGTACAGTATGGCTGTAATGGCTCTAACAGCCACAAGCACTGGAGGCTGCTTTCCTTTTTGGCAGGGGTTTAACTGCTTTAGCCTTTAGCCTTTAGCTTTAACTTTCAAAGTTGACAATTGAATTGAAGTTGAAAGGACTTCCAAATCCATCAAGCCTCACTCTGTAAGAACCACAGTCCTAACAGAACGACCTACAGTCCTAACCTGGACCCTGACTGTAGATTCCATACGTACCCTAGACCCATCCCACACCAAGCTGCTCCCACAGGCAATTGTTTGCCTCTTTCGCTGAGTCTGAACGATGGCAAGTTGCCACACCCCTAGCAAATGATTTGGTCCCTTGCCATTCACCACACCCTGGCCTTTTGATATCAGTCCTGGCATCCTTCTTACCAGCAGTCCAAGTGTATGTGACTTCATAAATGTGAAACTAGATACAGATGTCAGATGACTAGATGACTGAGATGACCATTAAATTATAGACTATGAAAAAAGATGTACAAATGGTGATGTGGTTCCAGTAGTGAACAGTATCATTATTCATGGGTGCTGGACAGCTGTGCCTAGAGTCATAGAGGGAATAACAAACAAGCGTTGGCAATGGCAGGGATCTGGAAAACACAAAATGCCCCACAGTCATAGGCATAGGCTGCAGGCTGCAAGTGTGAAGCATCATCCACACCACACCTGCCTATCATATCCTACACTGTTTGGCCCCATCAGAGCTGGATCAAAATCCTAGCAGCTCAGCTCTCAGTTTTCCTTTTGCGCCCTGTAGTTCCCTGAGCCGTCTTCGCCTTCTTCTCTTTGCCACTGGCTGCAGTGGCCTTGGAAGCTGATGATTTCCTTTTGGGACCTTGACTCTTGCCCTCACCTGAAGTCTTGTCCCCACCACCCCTCCCCAACCACTCATCCAGCTTCTCCTGGAGCTTGGTTGGAAGGTCATTGCGTGAAACCCCAAGCACAGCACAATACTGGATGGAAGCAGCATAGTAGGACTTTCGCTCCACGCCCTGTTCGTTGTACTTCTCACTGTTGACAATCAAATCGCTGGTAGTGAGAATAGATGCACACATAGCAGCAGTCCTGCGAAAGTCCTGAGGGGCAACATACAAAGGCCCTCAAATCAATCACAGTTAAACACTTAACTGAACTGGCCTGGCTCATCAAAATCTAATCTAAGTAGATGATGGTGGTGCAGTGGTGCTCATCTATTCTATAATGCTGCATGCTGCATGCCGCTTCACATCACAGGTTTGTGAGACTGTATATGATTGTATGAATTGTATGATATTTGTTTACCGTTTACTTTTACCCCTTGATATATAAGTTTAAGTGACAGTATAAAGTATATTATATATAATATATATAAAATACATATTTTTTATAATTTATATAAATTACATAAATCATATGAATCATATCATATCTATCAATCACTTGACACGTGTCCTCAATGTCAGCTTGGAGCTCCTTCAGCCCTGCATTTCCCAATAGCTCATTTTTCACCCGGCAGCCCAGAATCGACTTGATCAAAGGCAACCAAGTAGAGCAGGAGTCACGGCTTCCCATCAAAGAGTCAATGTCGTCCTTGACCTCTTTGTCATCACGCTGGTAGATCGGCATCACAGAGTCCAACTCCCAGGACTCTACTGCAGGAATCAGCTCCCTGCACACATAACTTTGCAGGGGGGCAAAACCCAACTCCCTTTGAACCGCATCGTCACATCATGGCCTAAAATGACATGTAATGTATCTCTACAATTTGACAATGTGACAATGAAACTGTTAATCTAATCTAGTCAGTCAAGTCTGCTCTAACTTCTCAGTAGTTGAAGCTTTGACCTAGTGCCAACTGTTGCCTGCTGCTTTCAATGTGGTACCTAGAGCCCACTAGCACATCACACTTCCCTGACTCACCATTCTCTTCTCACCATGAAAAATAAGATGTCAAGTTGAATGCAAAGAATGGATATCACAATGGGCCCGACACCCCCCAGCCTGTATGGAGCAAGCTTGGCAATGCATCCATCCATCGTTTTCCTCCTTTTCTCACGCCATGTTGTGAGGCTGGACTCAAAGAGGGTGCAAAAGCCAACGATCTTCTTGTGCCTCGACTCACTCACAGATTCCAGCAATGTGGTGTCCAAGCCTTGTAACTTGACGTACACTGGCAAGTACTTCTGCAGCGCATCCTCTGATGTGGGAATGGATGTGAGTGACAATGCCTCATCATCACTGGTACTCCCAGCAGCGCACAATGTCAAAGACAGCTTTGCCACACAAGTCGGCACCAGCTCTGTCAAGACCAAGCTGCTGTTGAGTGTCTTGTAGGCACCCTTCAAGTCGTCCTGTCCATGCTTCTGTACGCAATCCTGGATGAAGCTCACAGTCAAAGGCTGGATGACGCCTTCCAAGCATGAGAGAGCCTCTGAGATCGACTTGATGATGGGAAACTTGTGCATGTCACGTTCACTCAACATCGTTGCCTTCTTCAATGGTGAGCTGATAGCTCTCCACAGCTTCAAAGCCTTCAACAAAGGTTGCTCTTTGCTAGTGTAGAAGCCATTAAGAGCTGACCCAATCACGGAAATGAGGTTTGCCACAGTGTCGGGAAGAGTCTGCGAAATCTTGAGATCCACCAGGCCTGCAACTGAAGCAGAGGCAAGAACTGAGTGAATGTCACAATGTCTGTCTGACTTACTTTTACAAAGACAGGACAGTGGGGTCAGCCAGTTCTTTAATGAAGAGATAAAGATAAGAGAAACCATATCATATCATCAATTTACAAAATAGATTTATAACATCACTTCACTGAATCACCCTAATAATGGCATGGCCGGCAATGGTATAAACATACAGTGTGCAGTTGCCAAATCTCAAACACTCCCAATCCATACCATCCAATCTCCCATCTCATCAAATATTTAACTTAGTTGAACACGGTCTTTGATATTTCACCACCAGGAAAACTTGGAGTCACAAGACGTGCGCAGTTTCTTGCCTGCATTCGCGCTTCCAATGAAGACCTTGCACCAGTCCTGACCCTCTGGGAACACGAAGTCAACGCTTGCCTGATCACCTTTCCACTGCTCCTTGAGAAAGGACTGGAGAGCAGTGCTCATGTCATCCAAGGAAGGGGTGTGCTGAATGAGGGAAGACTTTGCATCCACCACTGTGGAAACCACTCCCTGTTGCTCTTCAGTAAAGGCACTTGACGTCTCATTGTCAGTGAGGATGCTGATCACATCAGTGACGCTTGCATCACCCATCTTCCAAGTGCACATAGCACCATCAAGAATGGCCTTCTCCATGACAGCAAGACCTGCTGCCATGTCTGAAGCCTTTAGTAAGGCTTGCTTCGTATCCAGGGCGCCCTTGGAGAAGTCAATGACTTTGGCCCACAGATTCCTGGCACACAGCCACACAATGCAAGTGGACATTAAAAAGCTCAGGTGTGTATTCCAGATTGACAATGTTCACAATGATTGACTGACATTTATTAATGAATTAATCAGTTTTCTCAGCCTCAAATGTTGCGAAGAATAGAATATGAATATGTGTACCCTGTCCATTGTTGAATCTATATATTTCTCTTGGACTCTTGGGCTCTTGTTTGGAGTTAGGCAGGGTGTGGTGGAAAACACATCACATCATATGAGTGAGTCAAGTGAGTCACACGGATGTTGTTTGAGACTCCCACTCTCTGAGTCTGACCTAAGTCCTGAGCCTACACCCTAATTTTCAGCCATTGTCCTGATCACCACATTGGACTTCATGATCAGAGACAATCGTGCAGACATGCTGGAGGCAGCAATCACCACACCCAAAGACTTCTTCCTCTCATTGGAGATCGGGCTGTTGTCAAACGCAAAGGAGCATGCAAGCAAGCGCTGGATGTCTAGCAACGCTTTCGTCACCACACCAGTCGGGTTTGTAAGGCGTTCATCAATAGGAGTGATCGTCAGAGGTGCACTGGCTGGGATCGGTGTCCTGTCAGGACATTGTTCTACC